AAAAAAAAACTAACCCTAACCATAAAAAAAAAAAAAAAAAAAAAAAAAAAAAAAAAAAATATAAAAGGGAATACCTATTAATAAAATACCGATTCTATCATATAATGAATCTAACTAAGCAGCAATTTTTGGTTTGAAATATGAGTTTTTGCAGATCCTAAACCTTTGTCAGAATTTTTTTAGAAAAACAAATAATATGATATATCAAACTAGAAGATCATCAAAATCTATAACCCGAATATTACCAATTTAGGAGTTATATAGAAACAAAAAGGTGGATGATATAGGGAATATAATCTAGTTAAATATAGTAATTTTAGAATGCAAAAATAGTATTAGATGCAGGTCTGATTCTCTCCATCAACAGGTGATATAATGATAATGTCTTTTCAAAGTGAAAGATACTCTGACTGCTAGTATTAATTTTGGTTATAACATGCTAGTGGTGCAACTAGAATATATTTAGACATCCATTAGGGCAGCCAAATAAATATTAAGTTGCTAATTGGGTTTGTATAATCTAATAATAGATTGTAATATAGTTCAAAAATTATATACTATATGTATTTATAAATAGATCTAATAAAAGCTTTACTAGCTTTTTTAACCAAGTTTAAAAAAAAAAATAAATAAATAAAAAAATAAAAAAATAAAAAAAATTCTTATAAAATTTTAGTATAAGCTATACTCTGCCTAATTTTAACCCAACTTTCATCTAAATCTAATTAAAAGTTTTATTTTTTTAATTGTTTTGATTTATATGTTACACCAATTGTGTATACATATAGAGCACTATAGCACTATAATAATAGTATTATACATAACACAAAACGGCCGGTTTTCTAGTTTAGTTTGGAATTTGTAATACTGCAATTTTGATTGATTAATATGATGTTTTTTAGATAAATTTTTAAGCGCTTAATGTACTGTACTTGTTCAAATTCTAGTTCTTAAATATATGGTGACGTAAATAAAATCTGATATTTTTTGAAAGTTAGGGTTGTTATTGTTACACGGATTAAACGATTATCGATTGTTTGTTTTGTCGAATCTGATCAGATCATAACCACGTGACCATAAAATTTGAAGTTCTAGTTTTATGTATGCAAGTGTCAGTAAGTAAATTTTTCTTACCTCCTCATTTTAGTTCTTTTAACAGACGCTGGAGCGTCGTAAAGGTAAGGAATTCAATTTCGTTAGACATAATATATTATATCATTCAATTCTAATGCACTCTGAAATTTGTTGGAATTTGATATATTTGTTTACTTCTATGAAGCAAACAATTTTGTTCTTCATATGAAACTTTGGGAGATATGTTCGTCAATCAAAATCAAGCCCAAAACAAAAAGAAATTGGTATTTAAAATGATTATTTATTTATGTAAAATAAGAAAGAAAAGGAGTGATATCTTAAACTGTGGTTTGAAAATTTGTAGATCCAATCACGTAAATTGGCTGTTCTCCGAGGCCAACGTGACGAAAATGTCGCCGCACCTAAACAACTTGCTATGCGTGAAGCGGCACCTACTATTTCAAATGCTCGACTTCCAAAAAAGACGACTAGTTTTGTACGTAAAAGAGCTGCGTTAGACGATGTCAGCAACATAAGCAATGTTCCGGTTGCGACTTTAAAGCATGCGCCAACCAGTGATTTGGACGCTGTTTCTTTAAAAAAAGCACCAATTAATGAGATAAAAGCCAGTGCCATAAAGCCTCCAATAAAAATAGAAAATATAGACAGAATAGAAAAAGTAGGAAAAATAGATCAAAATTTCTCTTTTTCGCAACATGCAAAGGATGAAAAGCTATTTGTCTTCAAATCAGGTGTACCTAATGTACCTAATGTTAGAGCTAGACATGTAGAATCAAAGCCCATTGCAACTAAATCATATCAAATACATGATGTTGAAGTTGATAAGAAACGCGCAAAGAAACCTAGGACCCAAGACTGGCAAGATTTGGACGCCGATGATGCTCATGATCCTGTGATGGTGTCAGAATACGCTGTAGACATTTTTCAATATTTAAAAGAATTGGAGGTAAGATTTCTGCCATCCCTTAGGGAGCTGGCACTTATTACGTAATCTAACCCCCAGAGTCAGTCATTTGACACAATTACAAGTTCAAAAATAATCAATCTTTTGACAATTGCACTATGATTATTTTAGAACCTGTTATTGTCAAATAACTGACGCTGGAGGGGGGTTATACTTACGTAATAAGTGTCAGTTCCCTTATTCACCCGAAAAATTATTTTCGCTTATTTATTTATAATTTACGTTCAGTCTGAAACAGCGCCTAGACCTGACTACATGGATCAGCAAAATGAACTAAGCTGGAAAATGCGAGAAATCCTCGTCGATTGGCTGATCGAAGTACACAACAAGTTTCGCTTACTTCCTGAAACCTTATTCTTGGCCATAAACATAATCGATCGATTTCTTTCTGTTCGGGTTGTTTCCCTGGTTAAACTCCAACTAGTTGGAATCACTGGACTGTTCGTTGCGGCAAAATATGAAGAAGTTATAGCACCGTCAATTAAGAATTTCATTTACATGGTTGATAACGGGTATACAGACGACGAAATTCTTAAAGCAGAACGTTATATTCTTCAAACCATTGACTTCAAGATGAACTATCCAAATCCCATGAACTTTCTTCGACGAGCTTCCAAAGCTGACAACTTCGACGTTCAATCCCGCACAGTTGCCAAATATCTTATGGAAATATCTCTTGTCGATCATAATTTTTTACCCTATCCTCCCTCCATGATTGCTGCTGCTGCTTTATGTCTTTCTCGGAAAATGCTCCATCGCTCTGAATGGGTAAGTATATTCATATTCTTTCCATGAAGTTATATGACTGATAAAATAATTTTGATCAAAATTTTTAGAACGCCAATTTAATTCATTATTCAACTTTCACCGAAAAAGAACTTGAACCATGTATAAGGTTGATGCTTAATTATTTGTCAAAACCAACTAGACACGAGCAATTATTTAAAAAATACTCTACAAAAAAATTTATGAAGGCTAGTGTTTTTGTTCAAGATTGGGTAGAAAAATATCTTCAACGGGTGAAATGGAATAGATAGGTAATTAGCATCACACGTGTCACCACGTACCACATTTAATATAAATCATTAAATAATAAATGCTAGAGTTTAGAACCGGGTTATAGTAAACCGGGTCACCCGTGTCAAAACGGTTCAACCGGGTCAAAAATTTACAACT